TAATAATTAAAAATTAATAAATAAACAAATATTTATTGATTGATTTATATATAAATGTTTATTCATAATTAAAAATTATTATACAATTAAAATAATTGAAGTCTTGCATTATCAACACACTATTTTTACACACTGTTTGTAAAGCTGCTTTGACACAATCAAGTGCTATATAAATAAAGGTGACTTGACTTAATAAATAAACAAATAAATAATTGTTTATTATTATGTTCCAAATCTCACATTTCTCAAATGATTTTCATATTAATAGTTAGCTGTGCAATAAACATAATATGTGACCCTGCAGCACAAAAGCAGTCTTAAGTCGCTGGGGTATATTTGTAGCAATAGCCAACAATACATTGTATGGGTCAAAATTATACATTTCTCTTTTATGCCAAAAATCATTAGGATATTAAGTAAAGATCATGTTCCATGAAGATATTTTGTAAATTTCCTACCGTAAATATATCAAAACTTAATTTTTGATTAGTAATATGCATTGCTAAGAACTTCATTTGAACAACTTTAAAGATGATTTTCTCAATATTTAGATTTTTTTGCACCCTCAGATTCCAGATTTTCAAATAGATGTATCTCGGCCAAATATTGTCCTATCCTAACAAACCATACATCAATGGAAAGCTTATTTATTCAGCTTTCATATGATGTATAAATCTCAATTTCACAAAATTGACCCTTATGACTGGTTTTGTGCTCCAGGGTCACATATTGCTCAGTTCTTACTTTTCTACATATTCCGTGTTATCACTCTTTATCAGTCTAAACCTAGTCTGATTAGTGTCTGTTGAGTGTTTACAGCCCTGTTTGGACTCATTATCATTATTAGTCACATGCAGTGTTTTTTAAATTCGTAACAATTCGTGCATGTTCAGCCGTGTTTGCTGTGCGAGTCTGAATCTGAGTGAATGTCAGTCCCAGAATTCCTGAGCTCGGGTCACATTCCCAGCGTTACTGGACATGTGAGAAGGCCACGGCGCTGGCGACTCAAGCCCATCGCATAGCCTGTTGAAAATAAGCCTCGCTGGTTGGTGGATCGAGCTGGAGGCTGGTGTGACAGTGTGTCTGAGGAAAGGGCAAGCCGGCCGTCTGGATGCTTACAGAGGCACATTTCCAGGTCTCCCTTCTGGAGAAAACATGAGTAAATCTGGAGCGTGACCTTTGAAGTTGTTGGTGTCCTTTGACTGCAAACCGTCCTGCAGCTTCACAGGACACTGCACGAGGTTCATGTGGTTTTTCTGTCACAGGGAGGAAATAACGCTGGTCACACGGTGGTGGTGGATGAGAAAGAGTATGACTTCCATCTTCTCCCCAGTGGGATCATCAACACCAAATGCACATCATTCATCGGTGAGAAGGAGAGTCTTGCAGTCCCATGCACAGAACTGACTGATTACAGTAGCTTCGGTGGACAGATGTAGTGTTGCATCTGATGTATTTACTGTATATGGAAGCTTGTTTCCAAAAACGAAAAAAAAAAAGGTAATTGTTTTTCTCAGAATTGCGAGATAGAAACCCATAAGACATAAACTTGCAATTATAAGAAAGGTCAGAATTGTGAGAAAAAAAGTGAAATATCGAGATGTAAACCTGCAGTTATGGGTTCATATTAAGCAGTTTCAAGATATACTCTCACAATTCCAAGAGTAAGTCAGAATTATGAGAAATAAATTCAGAATTCAGACAAAAAAGTCAGAATTGCAAAAAATAAATTCAGAATTTAAAGAAAAAAGTCAGAATTATGAGAAATAAATTCAGAATTCAGAGAAAAAAAAAGTCAGAATTGCAAGAAATAAATTCAGAATTTAAAGAAAAAAGTCAGAATTGCACGAAATGCATTCAGAATTCAGAGAAAAAAGTCAGAATTATGAGAAATAAATTCAGAATTCAGAGAAAAAAAACAGAATTATGAGAAATACATTCAGAATTCAGACAAAAAAGTCAGATTTGCAAGAAATAAATTCAGAATTCAGAGAAAAAAGTCAGAATTATGAGAAATACATTCAGAATTCAGACAAAAAAGTCAGAATTGCACAAAATAAATTCAGAATTTAAAGAAAAAAGTCAGAATTGCAAGAAATAAATTCAGAATTCAGAGAAAAAAAGTCAGAATTGCAAGAAATAAATTCAGAATTCAGAGAAAAAAGTCAAAATTGAGAGATGTTAAACTCGCACTTACAAGAAAAAAAGTCAGAATCGTGAGGAAAAAAAAGTTTTTATTTTTTATTCTGTGGTGGAAACAAGCTTCCATATATTAAAGACAGTATTAATGTATGATTAAATGTCTGATGAAATCTGATGTGTTCAGAGACAGTAAAGCCGAAGCCAGCTTGACTGAGGTTTCAGTAACGTGTGTTCATCTGCAGGTAACGGCGTAGTCATTCATCTTCCAGGATTATTCGAGGAGATCGACAAAAATGAGAAAAAGGGTATTTTTTGTCACAATTTCCACATACATGCAAACATCACATGCTTTTCAATAAAGCAGCCTTACACAAATCCTGTTCAGTAGATGCGGTTCATTGATTATTCACGGCTTGATTCTGTGCTCAGGAATAATTTGATGTTTTCTTCCATGATAAGGGCTGAAAGGATGGGAAAAAAGGCTGGTCATCTCCGATCGGGCTCACATTGGTAATATAACTAGTGTTTTTATTAAATATATTGTGTATATACAGTGGTGGTGGAAAATACATATAATGAAATAATAATAAAAGTGCATCTGTTTGTGTCAGTATTTGACTTTCATCAGGCCGTGGACGGACTTCAGGAGGTTCAGAGACAAGCTCAGGAAGGACAAAAGTATGCACTTTCCATATGTACACTTTGTTTATTATTAACAACAGTTATTATTATTATTATTGTTGTTAATTTACAATAATAAATGCACCTTTCTTATACTCAAATAACTTCAAACATAGTACGTAAAACATAAACAAAAATAAACTCAATAAAATCATGCAAAAAAGTAAAATAAAACAGCTTATAATATTTAGTTTGACCTCCTGAATTTGTTGATTCACATTTTCTGAACTCTGATACTCAAATTTCTGTTGCATTATTTTTTAGTAGTTTAAATTTTTGGTGATTAAACTAGTTTTCTTATTTATTTTTTTAAATGTATTTATGCTTTATGTTTGATATGTTTGAAGTTCCTTGAGTATAATAAATGTGCATTATTAATACAGTTATTATTCTTATTCTTATATGAGGTTTTTAATCACACAAATAGAATAGAAGATAACACAAATGAAGGTTTTACACTGTTTTCAGTCCTGCAGTTTGGTAACTGGTTGCAAATTTTAGTTGCAAATATTGCAAACTTCATATAATAATATTTTTTTTTTTTTAAATAATGCACTTTTCTTAGAATTAAAGAAAAACAAACAGAAAACAGAAAAACAAAAAAATAAATAGATGCAATAATATAGTTTGACCTCCTGAGTTTAATGACTTTCTGTTGCATTATTTATTTTAGTAGTTTTATAGTTTTTTGATGATTAAAATTGAATGTATTTATGTTGTTTCACAGCATAGGAACAACTAAGAAAGGCATCGGACCCACGTACGCCTGTAAAGCGTCTCGCACTGGGCTTCGCATCTGTGACCTGATGGCTGATTTCAGCGAGTTTTCTAGCAGGTAAACCCTGTGTAAATCTTATACTGCTGCTCATATCAGTGCAGTGCTGAGCTGAAGTGTTGATAACTCACTGCTGAAGGGTGAAGAACCTGGTGCAGCAGTACCAGTCCATGTTCCCCGCTCTGAAAGTGGAGGTGGAGAGCGAGCTGAAGAAGCTGAAGGTCAGTTGAACAGCTGAGGCATGCTGTGTGTGTGGCTCTCTGTCTCTGACCCACGCTCCTTCACAGGATTACGCCGAGAGGATCAGGCCTCTGGTCAGAGACGGCGTCTATTTCATGTATGATGCAATTCACGGGTCGCCGAAGAAAATCCTGGCGGAGGGAGCAAACGCGGCGCTGCTGGACATCGACTTCGGTGAGGACATGTGTGTGTGTGTGTGTGTGTGTGTGT